GCTTGACACAATAATTACAATTTCCTTATTTATTATCTCTGCTGTGAAGTCATGTATCTTTATCACAACTTCATTTCTATCCTGTATCAATTTTACATTACATTATAATCAATGATAGATAAACATAAATGCATGCAGAAAAAATAATAAAGCATGCTTCTGAATTAATTCCTATGAATATATATAATTCACACAGTTTTCGCTAGAAGTAAGTTCACGTTAAGCTATTAATTTTTTTATGTTTCACCCACACTTATTTAAAAGCACTAAATGGTTCGTGTTGTTCAAGGTAATCTATACTTGACAGAGAGGTTACCCTTTTTTTATATTGCAATTTAATAATTTGAGTATATATTTTTACTCTGAATTGTACTGACTTTAAAAATATTAACCTTTAGTTTCTCTTCATGGATTTTGTTTATTCTTTTTTTTAGAAAAAGTTAGACATTCAAAGAGAGGAAAAAAAGTACAACAACAGGTTTGATATCTATAATTGGTTCATCAAGACTACAGATGATTGTTGCATAACATTTTAAATGTTTATTCATTGAAAACACTTTACCATCGAATTTTCTTCCTGATCATCTAAAAAAAATGAACGAACTTGCAAAAACTGTCAAGAACATTCACAATTAAAAATCGGGTCAATTTATGCTTGTTCTCACTTGATACTTCTGAATAAATCAATTGATTTCCTTATACAATTATTATATTTTTATCTTCTTTTTTCAGAAGTCCATACAAATTTTAGATGAGAATGGTATGTATGCATTTAATTTGTTGATTAAATCAATTAATATGATGGATAATACCTTATGCAAATTTCAGATTTTGTTAACTCTGATCAACTAATGCAAATATTGAATTTGGTTACCTCTGGTTATCTTATGCAAAAAAGTATTGTATTACCTCTGGTCAACCTATGCAATTATTGGATTTGATTACCTCTGTTAGTTTATGCAAATAGCGGCTTTTGTTACATCTGGTCAACTTATGCTAAAATAGTATTCGGTTAACTCTGGTTACCTTCTGCAAATATTTAAATTGTTACCACTGGTCACCTTCCGCATATAGGATTTGGTTACATCTGGTCATCTTACGCATATATAGGATTTGGTTACCTCTGTGTACCTTATGCAGATAATTGATTTGGTAACCTCTTGTCACCTAATGAAGATAACGGATTTGGTTACTTCAGGTCAACTTATGTAAATATTGGAAAACGTTCATCTAGTCACCTATGCTGATATTGGATTTGGTTACCTCTGGTCACCATATGTATTTATTGGATTTGCTAGCTCTTGTCACATAATGTAAATATTAGGTTTTGTTACCTCTGCTCACCTTACCGCGATATTGCATCTGAATACTTGTGGTCACCTTGAGAGTGGTTTGTATGCATTTAATTTATTGTATTAAACCTTTAATATGATAGATATGTACACAAAGTTCATATAATGCTGCAACTAATATTCTTTTTGAACTTAAAACTTGCAATCGTTTCTGGTAATGGCCACTTAGGCTTAGTTGAACAAATCATTTTTTGTTTCTTGATTACCTTACACAAATATTTAATTTTGATTACATGTGGTCATTTTTACCAGAAATTAGATCTGTTAACCTCTGTTTGCCTTACTACAACGGGGTTACTTCTGGTCACCTTATTCATATATTGGATTTGGTGACCTCTGGTCACCTTATGTTAATAACGGGTTTGGTTACCTCTGGTCACCTTATTCATATATTAGATTTGGTTATCTCTGGTCACCTTATGGAAATACTGGATTTGGTTACCTCTGGTCACCTAATGCAGATTTCAGATTTGGTGACCTCTGGTCACCTTATGTTAATATTGGATTCGGTTACCTCTGGTCACCATATGCATTTTTTAGATTTGGTTATCTCTGGTAATTAACATTTACATACAACATTTAAGCACCTATGTCACATATACAATTTTTGAACGAATATCTAGAAAAGGCAGTTTTTTCAAAATCAGTATAATATTTCATTATTTTTTTCATTGAAATGGTTTACGAATGGATCCTTTCTTTCTGTGCGTAGATTTGAAACTGCCATCATCATTAACTTTACGCCCCCGTTTTTTCAGAACACACTTTCGGCTTACTGAATAGTCATGATCAGTTTTTGGACTTTTGGATTTTCTGCTTGGAAACAGCGGTTGCTGCTTTCGCTTTCTTGTTGTTTTGGAAAAGTTGGTTGTCTTACAAATATGTAATGCCGTTGTGAGTGCTTGACAAATAGCTTTCTTTTTTTTCACGTCAATTGTCTGGAAATTTTTATTGTTTACATATAAATTGATTTCCTCAATTTTTCTTTTAATAGCCTGGTCGGTTGTTTCTTTGTCTTCAATTAATTGTTGTTTTGTTTCATCAATTGAGGTAGACTCTATGTCAGGTGATGGAACTACCAGTTTTGCTACAATCACACAAACACAATGTTTACCATGGCTATTGGCAAAACATGTACATTTGAAAGAGGTCAAATTAACAACTGATACATTTCCCAATCTTGACAAAACCTCTACCTGGTTGTTATCTCTGTCATAAAAATATTGTTCTGCATTAAATACATCCATTGCTTCTGATCTGCGCTCTACAGTAAGGTCGATGTTCCTTTTAGAAGCAATCAATTCAGCTAAATGAACATGCTTACACATTCCTGAAAAATAGTAGAGAATGGAACATAAATAACTTGTACCTTTATGGTTCACTTTCAATTGTACAAACTTTAAACAAAACCACTAATGAACGTTGAGTAAAGATTTACTTAAATTGGATCGCATTGTTTTAGAAAATTTGATGAGGAAAATGATTATTTGCACTTGTATAACCTGATGACGGTTGATAATGCCTTGTTGGAAGACAAAAACAATCAAAACCGAGGAGACTCATAAAACCATAAGACATTTACAACAACAGTAAAAAACAATAATAAACAACACGAATTCCACTGAATACCTGAAGTGAAATTAGGTGCTTTAGAAGGATAAGCATTTCCGGGAACCATATACGGTACCCGAAATTAATAATCTTGATTTTAACAATTCATACTTGATGGTGTACTTTTAAACATTGTTGGACTGACTTAAGATGCTAAAAAAATACCTCTTGTTGTTGCTGCTGGACAATTGCACACTTCATTGACAATGTCCACATTATAAATCGTCCCAAATGCTGTCTGTGATGGAACAGTGCATTCTGTGGATGAAGTCCATTGCACAGTTTGGTCGAGTCCTGCCTTGAGCATATTCTCTGCTGTCAATTTACTTTTGTCTCCCCTTTGTCCTCCCATATTTTTCAGGCGACCAATCTTTGCGAGTTCATCCAGGTAGCTAAAATTACGATGTTTTTTTTAATTTATTTTTGGTTATGAAAACATAATTCAAAGATCTAATAATAAATTATTTCTTAAAAAATTGAATTCACAGTATTTAATATTCAATGTATTTGCATCTTAAATTAAAATGATCTTTCTAATTTCAGACGATTCAAGTGAACGATAAGAAGAACAGGATTGTGACAAATTTAAACTTACTTACTCATAAAACATAGTTACATTTCCATGGAGAAGGAGTAGTAAGTCCTCTACTCTGCTATTGGCATACCCACCAAGGAAATGGTATTTCATGCCCAGGAAAAACCTGAAAATGACTTTGAATTTATGATTTATATTTGAATGTACAAATAGAAAGTACATAAAATATTAATGTGTTAACATTTGAATGTTATAAGTAGCATTATATTTTTTTGTTTTAATATCCTCATACACATCAGGTTTTGCTAGACTACATTTTTTCATTTTGTCTGCTTTTATGTAATTATCGACTTGCATTGACAATTATGATATTTGTATTAAATTTGCATAACCCTATCATGAAAGAACGGCAAAAATCCTCTCCATATAGTTAAAAATTGTAAAGTTTATATCATGCTATGTCTTTGGTTACCCATGAAGAAGTAGGATTTAGACAAAGTGTAATACTTTTTATAAATCAGGTCATAAAAACAGAGACAGTTCAGAAAATTTATCCCCAAAATAAAATATACTTAGTTACTATTATCAAACAGATAATAATTAGATGATGCTTAAAATTTCGATCTTGTAAAATATAAGGTGTATAGTAATAAAATGTATTAATAACCTTTCAACTAAGTTATTTGTATCTTGATCTTCATGACAAAAATGTCTTCCATAGTTGGCCCATCGACATCCCCACTTGTCAGTACACCAGTTGTCTAACAAGTAGTCTGCTATTTTTAGGAAGGCATCTTCTCTTGCAACATTTTAACTTTTTGAGAAAAGTCTTCTTTCTGATGAAAAATTATATTGACACATTTCTTTTGAGTATAAAATCAGATTTTATAGATTAAACACGCGTGTACTCATAAGCATTGTATATTTATAGGTAAGATCTTTAAATCGCATTAAGCAACTATTTGTACTTTCTAAATTATTTTACTGCTTTAATTCAATAGAGATTAATTTCTATATGTTTCAGTGGGTTTTTTTTCATCTTTTATCAACCAAAATTCATTGATTGTATTTTTTATTATTATTATTATTGCGTTTTAATTGACTCTATTTGAAAAATCTTGTTGATATGATTTTGATATTAAAACAATTACAATGTTGGAAAAGGAGAAAAAGATCCCACTGAGGTTTCATTTCTACAGGGATTTTTCTTATAATATAAACATATCAATAACCAATCGTGTTTCATTGTGAGGCAACACACTCGTGATTAATTTTTTAACAATGTTTCACATCCTCTGCATATAAAACTGTTATTATCAGAAGCAGGTCAAGTTTTACTATGTAAATTAACATTCACCTAGTACATATTAAATATTCGAATACATTATTTGAATTTGTCAGGACCAACTCAAAATTATTGACCAATTTAAAAATTATTATATTTCACTGTGGTATCATAGGTTCATTATATTTTATTTGTCTTAACTATCACGTTTGATTACCTTGCTACATATTTTCATAGTTCTAATATAGTCAATAACTTTTTTTCTGGTATGTGCGTGCATGGGTCCTGATACACCAGATTCTTTTTTATTCAAAAATCTGTACACAGCCTGTAAATCAAATCATTTATATTTAGTTCATGTCTTAAAGATTCTTGATAATAATAATTAAACATTGTCTTGAATATATCATGATTATTTTTCAACAAGATAATATTTGATCTATGAAAGTATTAATGCGAAAGAGTCTATTTATTAATTCAAAACTGACCTCAAGCTTATAAACACAAAAAAAAAGATATAAAATGTTAAATCCAATGCAATTAATACTTATTGATCCAAAAGAGTGAAACTTCACAGAATAACTCTCATTTAATAACTGATTTTTTTCCCATAAAGAATAAGGTAAAATGTATGATACATATATTGAATAATATAATACCTGTAAAACATGAAACCAGCAAAGTAAAACAGAGCTGTTTGGGAATACTTCATTAATTGCGCTGATTTCTTTGGTATCTCTGTCTACCATAAAAGATCTAGTAAACAAAATGTAACACTGCAGTATCAACAATCTATATCTTTATCTCATATTGGTTTTATTCTATAATACTATTTGTTAATTTGTAAATAATTATGTAAATTCTTTTTTTTTTATATCAATTAGATTTTTAATTTGTGATTCAAAAGTTTGGAAACAAGCCTAAAAAAGCTTTAATTATTATGTTATGTATAAACCTGACTATGCTTTAATCTTAAATGCTTTGGTTTTAAAGCCTTGCTATAGATCACACTCAAAAGATTTTAAGGAAATTGATGTTTTTGTAAGTTTCATTAGTCCATTAGAAAAATATTATTATGCAAAAATTATTTATCTAATATTCTTTGCCAAAATTCAACTGAAATTATTGTGGACCTTAATTGTATTAATTTTGATATGCATGAAAAAATGTTTCTTTAGATGAATCTTTCATAGCATTGTCTATTTGTCATTTCAAATAACTATCACTGCACGAATATGTGAATAATGTCATAGTTTAACCTGTAATTTTTACAGCCAAATTAATTAAAACATATAATTGAATGGTATTTATTTATCTTTTATATCCATATCAGATTTGATGTTGACTCCGAATAATGTTACTAATTGTAAACAAATAATAAGACGAAAATGAAAAGTGTTAATAAGCAATGATATTGAATTCGAAATATTGTCAACTTTGATACCCACAAACCTTGGACGGAAATCAAATCCATGATTTTCAGCCGTAGTCTTCAGAGATCTCAGAAATATTTTGACAACTTCACCAGTATCATCTGACGAGATACAGTACGAAAGAGGAGTGCCTCGGCCTTGCTGTTCATCTCTTGCAACAAGAGCATAGAATGAATAACCATAGGCAGTTAATCCTTAAAACAAACAAAAAACATGTTGTAAGTTTATTGTCACACAGTTCAATTCTTTTAAACGTATCAATATTTTAAATTGAAATTTCCATGATTATATACAAGTATATACCTTTATATGTAGCATCTAAAAACACCACATTTTCTGCTAGTTTCACCATTCTTTTTCTTTGTGCTTTATTCTGGTAAATAATTACTAATGGCTGTACTCCCCTACAATGTAAATGTTACATATTTAATGACCAAAAGTATGAGTATGGATTATATATTTTATGTTGAAATCATGTCCATTTAATGGAAAAGAAGACGACAAACTAGCTACATTGTACTCATATTAAATAACCTCTATTAAAACTGAAAAAGACAAAAATGTAAAATATATTGACAAAATATATGACTTGTGAACAAGTGTAGCACTAAAAACACTCAAAAGGATAAAAACCAAAAATACAAATCATCTATTATGAGAAGTCAGATATACGTTCAGTCTACAGAAAACTCATCTGTACAGCTCTCATTGAAACATTTTACAGACAAAATCATATACGAAATTGGACAGACGAGTACTATAAAAACTATTTGAACATAAGGCAATCCAGTCATATCTGAAGAACAAAACAGGGTATCAATCAGTAATTTCAGAATTACTCTTTATCAGCATTATGCTTATATCAGTTATTAAAATTTACAAAAGTACATTATTATATAAGAATAATTACTCTTTCAATTCTTGGTAGAAAATTATCTCTTCCTTCAGTATTTGTGTGCATAGCTCGTGTACAGCTACAGCATCATTCTGGTGAATTCTAAAACAAATGAGGAAATATCATAGATCAATACCAGTACTGACATATACAAAATCAATGTCAACAGTACATCTGTATAATTTGACCAGAAAACACCAAAGTTAATTTACTGTGTAAAGTGCATGTTTACAATCAGATTGGTAAAAAGATTAAAATGGTGAATAAAGTAATGATTTTAACAGACGAACCATTGGGTTTGCAAACAGTGCATCAGTTTAAAGAACCACAAACCAAAGGCTGTATCTATAAATGTGATGGAGGTAACCAACGTCATTTCCAGTGTAAGGTACTAAATACCAAATGCTCTTTAAATTTCACTTTACTAAAGTATGTAGATGTAACAAGACGGAACCAAGGATATACTTTGTGTAAAGCTATCATTTTTTTTTAAATTGTCCAGATGTGACCAAAGTTGCGGTGAACAGTGGTAACCAAAGTCAATATATGTGTACGGTTTCAAAAGGGATATAGATTATATACATATCTAAAATAGACATAGGAAACACAAGTATGATTAAGGTAGCCCTAGTCAATACCTGTGTATCATTATATATATGTTTCAGGTGACCAAAGTTAACAAAATGGTGAAAAGTGATTATCAAATTCTACAAACATTTAAGGGTACAAGTGGCGACCCAGGTCCATATATGTGTTCATTAACCAGAGGTTACCAAAGTCTGTATATGTTAAGTGTTATCAGAGGTAGCAAAGTCTTTGTCAATATTAAGATTTGGTTCAAGTTATCAGAGGTAACTGAAGTCCGGATAATGTGTTATTTTTCGATGACTGGATACGTAGAGACAAATATAAAAAAGAAGATGTGGTTCGATGACTGGATACGTAGAGACAAATATAAAAAAGAAGATATGGTATGATTACCAATGAGACAACTATCCACAAAAGACCAAAAATGACACAAACATTAACAACTATAGGTCACCATACGGCCTTCAACAATGAGCCTGTTTCTTTGGATTTTTTAGAAGAACAAAGTAGTAAGTACATATTTTAAGTAAATCTTTTGATTATGTTTTGATACCTTTTATCCATTTTGTAACGTTGACATATATTCTTAATGTCAACTGGTGTCAGATAGTATCTTCTATCGTGCACATCAAAATGCCCTTGATCTCTAGCCCATTTCCATGCTTTGCACAATATTTCCATGGGTTTTTTCCCCTATTGATAATGAAATAAAATTAAATTCGTGTCAATTACAATTAATTTCAAATTTAGTTAAAATCTTTTTGAGCTTAAGGATTTTTTCAAATCAACACAAAATATGTCGTTGTATCAATATATGTCATTGTAAATATATATGTCTTCTAGAATATTTTATCATCAATGCTATTCAGCTTTAAACTGGTTTTTTCATTAAAATATTTCATACAAGCGTCCGATATTTATGTAAATGCATTAAATGACTCTCTGGCAAGCCAATTTTATCCTAATCATTTTATTTTTGATTTATTTCAACCTATTCATTCATTATAATCTTTGCAAATTATGAAAAAATGCGCCGGAAGACAAACACAGACATCGAAAAGAACAGAATGGTTGAGAAAATATTAAACTCCAATAATGTCAGCATACACAATTTTTATTATCATTGTGTTTATAAGAGTGCCAGCAACTTATAATTGAAAAATAAGTCAATTCGTTATGAGCAATAAATTATATATAATACCGACGACATGAATACCTGATCAAGTAAAGCATCTATATAAAGCAGTAAGCTGTGAACTGGGCGTGATTGGTGTTTTTCCTCTTTTATCTGTAAACTGTGTCCATTGTGTTTTAGTTGTTGCCGAATTATTACTGCTTTTTTACTCAAATGGGTCAAAAATCTGTGTAAGAAGATATTAACATGCCCTTTAATGATTTTTTTTACATGTACAACGTCACTGGTTAGTACTGTTTTGCCAAACGTATCATTATTATATTTATTACAACAGCTTGTAAGCAATATTTAAGATCTATCGGACTTGAAGAAAAGGATTATTTTTTCTAAAAATATGTGTAAGGCTACTTCGAATAACTGCTATGGTTGTTGTGTTCTCCTTGTAAATTGATAACTTATCATCAAAATGATATATACCAAATTCTATATAATTTGATACAGGGATTCTCTATATAATAATTTCAACCATGACAGGGTGTATTGACCCGCTCATCACATGAAATGTCAGGTAAACTAGCCAGAAACTCATGAATGGTGTATGCCCGGTGAATACCTGTTTAAATGTGTTTGGTTTAGTAATATGATAAATGCATTTAATTCCCACTCTCAAGACACGGACAAAAGGTTGCTTAACTACAACAAGGATGTTAGGATCAATAAATAATGATGTTCAAACGCTTAAAAGTTATAAATTAATTTATAGTTTTGCATCATAAAAGAAAAGTAAAAGAGATAAATGAATATTACATTAACATAACATACTGGAATGACACATATGCCTGACAATTATTTGCCCTGGTATTCAAAGGACCTGTTTTTTTTCCTCTTGGTTTATTACATCTAAAATAAACATGATAAAATTTAAACAAATATGCATCTTAACTTTATAGATAACCAAAGAGAAAAATGTTGTGCAATATTTCAGAAAATTCATAGTTCAATACGTTTAAAAGCTTTCGGAACTATCTGTTATTAAAGGCCATACTATAATTACTGTATAAACTATAACACAAAACGTATATTATTGAAAAAAAGCAAGAGAATAACATACAACCAGTAGTCAAGATTATACAACTCATCTCTTTCAAAACTATACCAATATTATTTTCTGTCACAAATGTATCTTTTAACTCAGCATTGTCTTGCAAATTTGATATGCAAGATATGTAAATAGATTCTTTAAGAATGTTTACGATTGTTACTAAAGTTGTTCTCTTTTTCTATTTATTGTTTATTTGGAGAAAAACAAGAGCGGATTTATTTCAAGATAAAATTCCTTTATAGATTATCGACTTAGATGATTAAAGTTACCTTTCACACCTGTATTGCAATGTGGTTTTATTTGCTTTCCTGTGAATAAAATTCCCTGTGATTGTTATATCCATTAAATGCTTGGTTATGACGTCTTCGTTGTCCACTTCATTTCTGTTGAATGATAAGCAAAAACTGAAGCCAAAGTCACAAATGCTAGCTGATAAAACACAACAATATGTTTCAGTGTAATAGTGTGACCAAAAATTCATCCATATATTCAGAAACATTGGAAAGAGTTACACCATAGTATAATAGACTTAAATTGTCCCCCAAAAAATGGAGTTCTTAAAAATGATCCCTTTGTTAATACAGTGATTTTTATATTTTGTAAGACTATTTGAAGTTCAGTAAAATTATTCTGAATAACAAACAGAGTTATTTTTCAATAATCTGAAGGTATATGTTTTGCTGTGATAGATATTTATTTTCTTTTAATTCTATTGAAACCATTAGGTCATAGGAAGAAGGTAGCATATAGAAATTAGTTGATTTCAAAACTATATATTTTCGATTAAAATAAAATTTCCCATACCTTAAACGTCTAACAATGCAATCAGTACCATTTTTCCGTTTTTTGATGAAGGTGGATCTCACAAACTCTACGAATGGCATATCTAGGGTAAGAAAAGCATATGTATTGCTATGTAGTAACACTAGTTTACTTGTTATAAATTTAAAAACAAATGATGACATCGATGAAAAATACCAACAAACGACCTCTGCACCAATTTTCTTGCACCAGATGCGCATTTCGACAATACATGTCTCTTCAGTGATGCTCGTTGCCAAATTTTTGAAATCCAAAGCTTATATAAAAGATGAAGAGCTATAATCCAAAAGGTCCAAAAAGTATAGCCAAATCCGTGAAAGAAATCAGAGCTTTGCATGAGGGAGATACATTCCTTAATTTATAATAATTTCTATATTTTGTAACAGCAAATTTTAATAACACAAAAAAATAGTTGCATATAATATATTTGAACGTTTCAACAGGCGCAAACCTGCACATTACACGTAAAACAGCAGTAAAACATTAAAAGAAAAGACGCACTATAAAAGCAAATAATGGAAAATGGCTTAACTCTGACAAAACAATTAACGAGTTACAAAAAATACAATTATAAACATAAGTATACTTCGCGACACAGTATTAATACAATAATAAAACGCATTTGCAGTATAACATAGACGTTACAGTTAATAATAAAAAAGGAGGACACATGATACAACTATTGCGACAAAATGACGTTAGATAAACCACTTTAAATTTCGCATGTAAAGTCAAATTTAAGTATAATAATTTTGTCGTAAGAAGTACGGAGAAATGGAAATAAAATGTGTTTTAAATGCATTGTTGACTTTCGAAAAGCCTTCGATAAAGTCATGCTCATTGGTAGTATCTATAAACTGCAACTTTATAATACAACTAATTATTTTTTATAGAATATTGACGTCTATGTATACTAATGGTAGGTTATGTATAAAAGTGGATGATAAAATGACTTTTACTTTTTATAATAAAATTGAGAATAAAAATGGGGAATGTGTCAAAGAGACAACAACCCGACCGTAGAAAAATACAACAGCAGAAGGTCACCAACAGGTCTTCAATGTAGCGAGAAATTCCCGCTAATTATAAGTTATTCAAATCATTTTAAAATCACTGATGATAAGTATGGCTAGTGAACATTTCCGAAGGAACAATATTGTACCTTCAACATCATGTGTCATGTTATAGTTGCTGAGTTCTTCGTTGCACACATCAACAGGAATAAAAAGGTTATCATCATTTGTTGCATGCTTATCATTCGTGTGGTGATCAAGTTTGCCACTGTCACCTAAAATTTGTTGTATAAACGTTACAATTAACAAAAAAACGTAATAATTTATAATTAATACTAGTTTATCTGTTAAAATAAAGCTTTTTTGCATCTGAATGTATTTGCCAATTAGAAAAACTTTGCCTCTAATGCTGATTGATATCAATGCAGTAATTATGCAATCAAATTATGTAAAGTAAACTTATATAAATATCACATTTACAATACTTCCTTTAATATTTTTCTTTTTCAAAAACAGTCTACAGTGAAAAAACGTAAAACGATTTAAGGTAGATCATTACTGAATTTTTTTCTCAGACATAATTTTCTTATACATAGCCACAATTTAGTAGAAAATCAAAAGAAAAAGGGTGAAAATAAATCTCGTTTTCTTGCGAAAAATGGAAATTTCATTATCATTCCTTTAAAGAAAATTCACCAAATAAGTTATCTTCCGTTAATTAGCTCAGTTGACAAATTGAATCAAACAAAGACTGATAGCCGGTTTTTACAATAACACTTATTTTTTCAATGATATAATGCACTTATTTACATTTATCAAACAAGAGTTTTAAAAATGAATAGCATTTATGTCTCAAAATTTGCAGTTTTAAATAAAGAACTTTGTCGCTTGTGTGCTGCTATTTTACAATTCAAGATGGCGATATACAGATATATAGTGATGATCTACCTAATTCAAAGATATAAGGCTTAAAAATGTGTTCCGTCTACGTAAGACTCATTAGGGTCGCTCCTATCGAAAATGTGAAAATGCCTAATGAAGAACAAAGTTAAAGTAAACTTATTTCATTTCGTTTTGCCAAAAACAATTTGATAAAATATCAAATATATAAATATGGACATTTTACTGATTCTATGGTATTTATCCCTTTCTGAGCACAATATTGATCAACATTTTACCAAACGTGGGTCATTTGATCGAAGTCCTTCCTTAGTCGAAATATAATAATGACGACAAATATTTTGCTTTCTTCTGAATTTTATATAATGACGTCATTGGAATAGGTGATCATGCCCGATGAAGTCAGACAAGAAGAGCATGACTTTTTGTAAATAATCTAAACAAATTATCAAATTTTATTGGAATCATTAGATTAACAGATTCCACAACTATATCTCGTGTTATAAGATATTTCCCAACTATCAACCGTAGACATTATTTTTTTAACATAGATTTACATATGCGTTACTTTAAACTATAGCTGTAAAGGTATCTCTTTATGAGAGATAATCATAAATTATATAATTTCTATTATCAGTTACCTTTTGGCTGGAGTGACTGGTAGTGGTTTTCGAAAATGTGCCCAAGAAGAATAGGATTACCGGAAAAACCATCACAACCA